TCGCCTTTGACGTTGCTTCTTAGTCTAGCAATCACCTCAGTAATTGTTGTTTCATTACCGATTAGATTCCTGGCGACACCTTTTAGCTTTGTTTTAATAATGGAAATAGCTAATTCTTCGTGCTCGCCTTTTATTGATTGTATTATTTGTAAAGCATCAATGAAGCTTGTTAAATTTTCAGCCTTACCGGCAAAAACTGGTATAAGCTTAGATGCTGTATTAATAAAATCAATATTTGACTGTGCCATTGTGATGGATTTATCTATTTTGTATACTATGACACTCGAAGTATTTGAATCTGTAGAGTTATCCAGATCAGTGTATACCGCCGGAATAGTAAGATTATTCAAATCTTCATCTTCTATTTTGGGGTTTACTTTGGGAAGCTCTTCTGACTCAGATTCGTTCGTTTCTGTTGATTCCGAGTCAGGTGCAGTGTCAACTGCTATTGGAGTGTTTAGAACGGTTGGTAATGATATTTCTAAACTGAACTTTTGTTTAATAAATATTAAATTAGATCGTAGACGTATTAAAAGTTTCGATACCTTTGACCAATGATCTTGATTTAATCTTTCCCTATGATCATGTATTAGCATACGCGCTTCATTAAAGCACTCTACTAATATTTCAACGTGCTTCCTAACCGTATTCTTTTGAATGGGTCTATTCTGAGTTAGAGACTTGTACAATCTGTCAAAAATTATTTTTAATTATTGATAACTCCTCGTACAATTTGTTCCAATTCATGCCTTTAGTTTAGCCATACTTTTGTAAAGAGAATTACGTAATATATTTTAATATTTATTTTCTGTTATTTCATTTTCTTCGATTTTAGGTGTTTACATTTGTGTATAATAATTTTGTTTTTTCTGGGTTTTTTATGTAGATTTTGTCCAGGTCATTTGCTTGACTCTGGAATTTTTTCTTTAAACATTTGTTGTGTAATTTATATAATTTTAACAAAACGCTTGCTAACATTATAATGACGATTATCATTAACAATATTGTAATTGTTTGAAGATCGATTTTTTCGGATTCAATTTTATTAACGACATATGCCGTGGAATCTACAACTTTCGTGTCTACTAAACCCATTTTAGATATTGTATTTGTTTTTGTTTTTCCAGTTTCTATTATATTTTTCTCTGAGTCATATTTTGTAATGTTACTTAATTTTTCTGGGAACTAATAGTCAGAATCATTTATTTGATCTGTTTTACTTATGCTATTACTTCTCATTAAAAAGGTATTAAAATGTTTCATAAATTTTAGGAATTTATGCTATTTTTGAATTTATTTTTATTTTTTTTCTTTCATTAGAAAAGAATTAAAATTTTACATAAATTTTAGGAATTTATGGTATTTTTTCCTTAAAATTAAAAATTTTTTTTTTAAATCTGAGTTTTTATCTAACATTTTTTCCTACCTATTATTTGTACAGCTATACGGCCCCCACTCTATTTGCTGCTGCTGCTGTCCGGGGCCTTTTGGACTCAGGCGTTACCGGTGCCGGTCCTCGCCCAGGTGTGGTTGCAGTGGGGGCTGTCCAGTGGTCCAGGGCAATCCTTCGGGCACGTCTTTTTTAGTTTCGGTAATGGCTTTGGTGGTGGAGGCTTTGTTATTATTTTTTCATTAATTTTCTTTATCGGTACTGAGTGAGTGGTGGCAATTTTTGGGCTTTTATTCTTGTTGCTTATTAATTTTTCTTTCAGAAAATATAGTTCTGTTTGAAGTTTTTGGGCCGTAGCCCACGCGGGAGGTGGAGTGTTTACGTAGAGTAGCCTCTTTAGGTGTGCTACTCTTTTTTTATTTTTTTCGCAACTCCTCCGCGATTGCCCATTGCTTTCACTCTACTCACTCAGATTACTTTTTTGTCGATTTATTTTGCATTTTCCAGTTTATCCAGTTTTTTTGATTATATGTATCCTCCTTGTTGGTATATCCTTTTAATCCCTCGATGTCCTTCGATGTCCTTCCATCGCTGTCACGGTCGCCATGTCATAGGATAACTCCAGGGGTTAAGTTTTAGTTGGATTTTTATTGGGAAGGAGCAGCTGAGGTGCCGCTCCAACGATCAAAACGTCTCTGTTCTTTTACAATATTTCTTAAGTCTAAGTAAGGCTAAGTCTCGTAGCAGCGCTGCTCGCAGGCGGAGGCAGAGAGACCGCTATGTACTTATATATAAAGGAATATAATAATATACGTTGTTATGCGCTCTCAAGTGGAGGCGCGAGGGGTATGCATGTGCTGACCGTTTGTTACGATTATGCTGACACTAGCACTTTCTGTGTGAGGGCTAAGCCACAACGATCGGTTCATATTTCGGCCACTTAGGGTTTATGACCGGGACTTTGGATTATGTAAACATGTATGTTATGTATGTATGTTACAGTGCGCACCCTTTAAGTACTCTCGGTACAGTGGGTATTCAATATATGTGCATACTACAGCATACTATACCACCATGGTGGTTTCTTTGACTTGCTATTGCCCGATCTGCTTTTGGGACAAGCTTTATTGAAAGCCTTGGCGCACGCTGCCGTGAGCGTGTTTACCATGGCATCCAGGGCTTCCCTACTGTCAACGTCCCCTGTTGGAGGTTTCCCTAAGGAACTTTCTAGTTTTTTCCTGTATAACTCCCAGTTTGCTTTCCTCGGGTTGCGTACCGTTAGTCGATTAAAGTTCTCAAAGTTGACCACTAATTCTATGTATCGGTGGTCCGATAAAGAGTGTTTCTCTAGAACTCCCCATCTAACCATCCTATCTGCTAGGGATTCGGAGTAAAGAGTGACGTCAAGTACTTCCCTTCTGTCCCTTCTTGACTATGAAAGTGGGTTCTGTGCCCCTGTTACCCACCAAAAGATTGGAGCCTAGGATAAAATCGAAGATTGACTCACCCCTCTCGTTCGTGTCAGTGCTTCCCCACTGATGATGATGGGCGTTAGCATCGCAACCTATGATCAGGTCGATCTTGTGCTTCCTGGTGTCTTCCACCAGCTGTTTGATTAGCGGGTGCGGGGGGAGTGCCTCCTGGTCGTGGCCCATATACGCCGAACATATCCTCAGAGGGCCATTTGGGCTCTCTATGGCTGCTGCTACGTGTTCTTCATTGCTGAAATTGGGTAGAAAAAAGAGGTTAAGGTTCTTTTTTGCGAGGATGCAGGCTCGCCTTTTACCTGTAGTCACGGCTTTGCATAGCCTAAATTCCGACGCCCCCAACCCAAGAATCCTGTCTCCTAGGATCCAGGGTTCCTGGATGAGGGCCACATCAGCTCCACTCTCGGCGAGGTGGAGTAGGAGAGCAGCTGACGCCGCTTTACTGTTTATTTGCAAGATCGTCAGGGACATCCTTACAAATCTCCACCACAGTAATTTCTGCCTCCGTCTCGGAGCTCAGCAGAGAGTCCTCCTCCATTCCGACTCCACCAAGTGCCCTTGCCAAGTCGCTTTCCTCCGAAGTGTACCCTTCCAGGATGTCCTCCTCCTCATCCGACATTCCTTCCGGGTGCCCCTCTTCGGTCAGCTCCTCCAAGTGTGGCTCTTGTGTGTCTGCCTCCAGCCCGATACCTCCTGGCTGGGCCTTCGCATCGGATTTGTAGATACGGACCGAAACGTGTTCAAATCCGTACTTCAGTCGGTGCTCCGTCCTCTCCAGGGCTTTAACGGTCTCCTCGTTGAGTGTGAGGACGACCTGCCTCCGCAGTCCCACCGCCTCCTCGACCTTGGCGACTCTCCAGTCCGCCGTGGGGAGCGTCGGGTTGCATATCCTAAGCATCGTTAGAATGGTTTTAGGGTCGGATGGCTTTTCAGTGAGCCACACTCGCGCCCTCGGTTTTCTAGGGATCTCGTCCCAGTCAACCGCCACCAGCTTAGCTCCAGGGTAGACCTCTCCAAGCGATGCAACCATCCGCTTGTAGGCAATCACCTTGACGCTACCCTGATACCATCCTGCATCTTCGCATTCTGGTGGGGGTCCTCCGCATCTCAGCATCTCCTCCACAAAGCGCCCATGCAACTCGTTTACCACCCGTCGCCAAAGGTCCTTGGGGATGAGCCCATCCTTGGAGCCCTTGTCCAGGACTCCAATTAGGGTTCTTCTCTTCGTTACTTCGGCGAACGAGCGGTTGGACGTCTGCGGCTGGACCTTCCTCTTCTTGGCCTAGGGGTTTTCTCCCTCTGTGCACCTCTGCCTTTTCGCGCTTTGCGTGGTCTCCTTGGCAGGGTCTGCCCAGAACGTCTATTCGGATCCAGCCTCACTCCCGCCTTTTCCGGATTAAAGTCGGGCAGGATCTCCCTTGCCCACTTAATGATCTCGGCCTGGTCCGGATTGGCTTCGGCCGAAGGGTCCGCCTTCATCAAAATGAAGGCTGCTCTTTTCCTGTCTTTGTAAGAGCCTTTACGTTGCGTCGAATGAGACGCTTCCGGGCCAGGGTTAGCATTAGGGGCCCCGCCTTTTGGTTTAGAAGTTGACCCTGGGGTATTCCTCTCCTCGCCGTTCGGTGGTCGCATAGCTAGCCCCGCTTTGAAAGAAGAAGCTTTGGCAACCTCTTCCGCACCGGCGCGTCCCGCCTCCAGATGTTGCCCCTCTGTGGGGGGCTTCTCGATCTCAGCAACTCCTTGGCTTTTGACTCGTGTTGACTATGACTGCCGGAAATATGATGAAAAAACAAATAACGTTATCAGAATTGGTGTGAATTATGATTTGGAACTACGGGCAGAGCTACGAGACAGCACAATGGACAGGAACATTGGAGCGGAAGAAATGCTTAATTATTGTGGACAGGCGGACGCTTCCATCGGAAGAAGCACGACCTTAGCAACGGGCCGACATGGCCATCGGATCCTGGATACACCGCGTCAACCTTGCGTAATCGCCACTCATTGGGCGGAAGGTTGTCCTCCTTGATGACCACCATATCCCCAACGCGGAGATCCCTCGTAGGGGCTCGCCACTTATTCCTCTTATGGAGCTCCTTGAGGTACTCTTCCTTCCATCGCAGCCGAAATTGCTGCTGAAGAGCATTCAGGTGTTGCCAGCGGTTAATAATGGACGTGGTACCCCCTTATCTCGGGTTCAACCGTGGCGAGAAATGGGCCTCCTACAAGAAAGTGCCCGGGTGTAAGAGCCAACAGATCAGCAGGGTCTTCGGACATCGGCCCCGATCCTCGCCAGGAGAGTTGCCAGCTCCTCAAAGGTGTATTTCCGGGTGGCGGTGGACTTGTAGAACATGGTCTTGAAGGTCTTGACGCCTGCCTCCCACAGGCTCCCCATTCCCGGAGGAATGAAATGCCCCTTTAGGCTCTGACAACTGGAAGACCTTTGTGGGGGCAGCTGCCCTACTATCTCGCGATTTTCCCAGCCCTTTTTAGGCTCCGGAAAAAATCGCCCCCGAAATCGCCAGAAATTTCTCGGTCGTAAGGTCCGACGTAGGCTCTAAATGGATGACCTTAGTAGAGACGAACACAAGCACCAACACATAATCTTCGTGATGAGACAGGCCCGCCCCGTATTGTTTTTTATCTCGAATGCACCGGCATAATCCACACCGGTGTACGTAAATGGGCGTGAGAAGGACGTCCGTTCCTTAGGTAGCTCTCCCATTAGTTGCGTCTGCAACTTCTTCTTGTGGATGATACATACTTTACAAGAATAGACGACAGACTTGACGAAATTCCTCACCTTGGAATCCAGAATTTGGCCCGGATAAAACGGATTGTCGGGTCAGGCAGCAGCGGTGTAATTTTAATGTTTAAATATGTTAACGTAATGTTTGGTAATGTTTATTTATTAGGCATAAGTTTATACAAAAGCTTAGTTGATCGCAAGCCGACTCTCTCTCGGCCGCTCGATTCATGATGTCTAGGTCGACCTCGATGTCTAGGTCGGGCCGCCCTCTCCATTATTCGAGAGCTTTAGCTTCGCAGTGACCAGTCGGGCCGCCCTCTCTGTTTTTACTTTAGTCTCTGCATGCACCATAAGCTGGTCTATCAGATGATCATCCGGCTTCATCTGCAGGCAGAAATAAACATTTTTTATAACGTTCATACTAAATTTAAATTCGTCTCTCATTTCCCGGCATTGAAAACTCTCAATGACCAAACATTGGTGACCCCGACGTGATATAGTTAATATAATTAACTAAAATATTAACTTTAATTTACTAAAGCTATATAATTAAAACTAAACCAAACTATTCCCGCGAAAACATGTGGTGCAGATCAAAATTTACAATAAATTTGGAGCAAACAAATTTGGCGCCGGAATTATTTACTTCGGGTTGGTCGGAACTTAATAAATCAACCATGAACTCCAGCGGCGCAGACACAGGAGCACCCACTCCAACCCGTAGTGCTGTTCTAAAGTGCAAGGCCCTGGGTATTCTCCAAGACTTGCAGAGGATCCAAAGAGCTCTTCAGCCTGTTTCCAAGGTGGACGATGCCATGCTCAACGTGCGTCATGGTCAGATAGTCGCCATGTTCAGCGACTTCAAGGCCATCCACGGGGAGCTTGAGGATTTGGACATTTCGCAGATCAGTAGTGAGCCCCGATGGACTGTCTCGGAGCTGGTAGTGACAATGCAGGCCGAAATTGAGCACGAGACGACCCTTCGCTCTTCCCGAATTGCTGCCCACTCCACCCTAGCTAACGGAATGTCCACCATGCAGGTTGACTCGGGGTCAGGGCAAAGGTTTCAAGCTTTGCCTCCCTTGCCTCTTCCTACCTTCAGCGGTAGATACTCTGAATGGCCTGAGTTTTACTCGATTTTCTGTACAATCGTTGGCGGTAATCCGAGCATCAGTAAGGTGGAAAAGCTGCAAAGGTTGCGATCTTGCCTTCGGGAGTCCGCTTTCGAAGCAGTTCGCTCCTTGGAAGTCTTCGATGAGAATTATGATGTCGCGCTGAATTTGTTGGAGAAACGATTTAATAGCCGTCGTTTAATATTTCAGGCTCATGTGAACGAGATTCTTGGCCTCACTCTAGTGGAAGGTGATTCAATAACAGGTCTTCGAGGGTTATCCGACAAATTCAATGCCCATATGAGAACTTTGAAGAATTTGGGTTCGACGAATGAGATAGCTGGCTGCATCATTGTCCAGGTGCTTCTTCAACGGTTGGACCCAGCTACCCAGGTTAAGTGGGAGGAGAGTCTAAATTCTTCAAGTTCCAACGCCATCCCTACTTGGGAGTCGCTGGCAGAGTTTCTGGAGCAGCGATGCAGGACTTTGGAGGCTATGGATGTGGCCGCTGGGCAGAGCTATGGAGCGGATCCTTCTTCGGGTTGGAGTGCTTCGCTGGGAGCTGATTAAGCTGTACCTCGCCCCTTACGAATATAGTTGGATGACAGGCCCCAGCGGTGTAATTTTAATGTTTAAATATAATATGTTAACGTAATGTTTGGTAATGTTTATTTATTAGGCTTAAGTTTATACAAAAGCTTAGTTGATCGCAAGCCGACTCTCTCTCGGCCGCTCGATTCAACGGGCTTTCTATAGAGAGTTTTAGCTCGCAGTGTCTAGGTCGGGCCGCCCTCTCCATTATTCGAGAGCTTTAGCTTCGCAGTGACCAGTCGGGCCGCCCGCTCTCTGTTTTTACTTCAGTCTCTGCATGCACCATAAGCTGGTCTATCAGATGATCATCCGGCTTCATCTTCAGGCAGAAATAAACATTTTTTATAACGTTCATACTAAATTCAAATTCTTCTTTCATTTCCCGGCATTGAAAGCTCTCAATGACCAAACACGGATCATCAGCTGTGCAGCCACCGTGCAGCGTGATGCGATGCGTATGCGTATAAATGCGTATCGCCAATTTAGGATTTGAATCGTCAGGTCGGATTGTAAGACCGTGCCCGCGTAAAGAATTTCGTTCAGACTGGTCCCGTTTTGCGGTCGGGCTCGAAGCATTGAAGACCACCCGCACCTTGGTGGTCGTGCTTTCGGGCTTGAACACGGCCTGATGTGGAAGATAGTAGGTAGCGGAACTGCTCGCGGGAGACACCTCGGTCATGTGGCCTAAGTCGATGTATTCCTGGATTACCGAGTCATAGCGGGCCTTAAGGGGCGGATCCCTCTTCAGGCGCTGCTCATTACGCAGGAACTGAGCAAGGGCAAAGGACCGTGAAGCCGCTAGCTCGGAACCCTTCTGCTCGGGGTCGCGTAAGGGGAGCGTCACAACGTACTTGCCACTCGTCTCTACTTGCCACTCGTCTCTACTCGTCGTCTAGACAATTCCGAACTGATCTGTGTTGGCACATTTTCCACCTCCCAAAATTTGGTGAGGAGCTGACCCAGTGAGTAACCGAGGCTGCGGCCCACTCGTGTGGAAAAAACGGACACGCTGCGGGGGTTGGCTGGAGATAATGGGCCTGTCAGCACCCATCCAAAAATGGTCTCCTGACAGAGAAGCGACCCGCAGATTAGCCTTGGAATTACCGAGGAGAATGGACGGAAGAATGTCAGCTTCTATTAACACATCGGCTTGAGAGCTCTCAAAGAAGTTGGGGTCCGCCAAGGGAATAACGGGCAGCCCTTGAGACCATCTCGCGGAATCGGATATGATGGCAGATTTCCTGCCAACTGCGGAAGAACGTTAGCCGCAGTCTCTAATTATAGCCCGGGTCCAGACGGCGACCGAATAGAGAAATGGCACAATTTAGTAGACTGCGTGGAAATGGTGTGATTAAGGCCGGAAGCGCTCGTGCTCTATTAGTGCTCTATGGAAGCCTGGAAGCTGCACCTCAAATGGCACACGTTGATAAGGGCTTTGCCACGCTGCGACAACGGATAACTTGGGTAAACGGAGCCTTAGAAACAATGGCGTGTGCGTCACCACTTGTTTTGGACAGAAAGTTGAACAACTTCTCAACCGGGGTGAGCCACGGGTTTTGGATGTAACTGGCCGTAAACAAGTCTCTGAAGGTGGGCCACCGAAGATAATCCCCCGCAAAGACCTCGGTATCTACCGGCAGCCTGTAGACGCGGGCGTGTGGACATTGACGGAAGCCTGAGTGGATTGGGAGGCAATTATCTCCCGTAGCAGGGCAATACACCTCGAATAGACGGAATAACAGTAGCTATACTTCGATTCCAGCACTCTCGAGGTGACCGCATTGTCGTCGGACACGGCTAGCAGATCTGAGCAGCTCTCATAGCTCTTCTCCCACATTGCCCGAATTTGGTCCCGGTGGACTTCGCACATGTATTGGGAGCCTATTTCCGTTTCTGGGGCGCCCGGAGTACTTATGTTAGCCTCAAGTTGGATAATTCGATCTGTTGTGGCGATGAACTTTTTCAACGCCACTTCGACCGCACTTTAAGCCATTTTCGAAACGGAACGAGTCTGTCTCTGTGAATGACCGAGGATTGTATTGACGGATTCGTCACTTTTTGCCCTTGGAATGGCACTAGACGCCTTAGGCTTTAAAAGAGGCGTCCGCGGAGAAGCGGATTGAGATCTGTCCAAACGGATGGTTGGGATTGGACGAGGCTTTTTGTCGTCTCCCGTGGGCATTCTCAGAATCCAAGTCGCTGGTCAGCGGTTGTCGACTGACTTGCGCAATAGGTGCCTCGTACGAAGCGGTGGGCGGTCACACTGATGTGATGAGAACGGCGAGATCGCGGATGAAATGCGATTACAAGGCACAAGTGGGAATAAGTAGCGCCGATGTCGAAACGTCGTGTGCGGCACAATTCGAATGTGGAAGAAAACTTCTGGAACCCAAAAAAAAACCAGATGGGACGAGGTTTGTTGAGACTCTAGGCGGATGTTGCCTGATGCGGTGTAGAAGCGTTAGAGGCACGGAAAATGGACAAGTACCGGAAAAATCGAGCTCGTTGAGATAAAAACTTATTATGGAGCCAGAAGGGTGGAGTTGAAACCTTAATCTTTAATTAATTGAATTTAATCGTCACGAAACCGGAAAGGTGAAATTGAAAACGCGGCTCTATTCGGACAGAAGGTTGATAATTAAATTATTAATAATTTTTGACTTTAATTATTGAGTGGCCGGAAAGGTGAATATAAAAACTGGCCCTTCGTTCGAACGGAAAATAATAATTAAATAAATTATGGTGGTTATAATTATAAATATATATATTTATATTTAATTTATTTTTTTGTTTT